ACCAGGCAGTTCGCCCCTAGGCAGTTCGCCACCAGGGAGCATCACCAGGCAGTTCTCCCCCAGGAAGTTCGCCACCAAGTAGCTCATCACCAAGGCACGTCACCACCAGGTCAAACACGAGGTACTTAGCCAAAAAAATTTTACACATCCCAAAAAATGGTACGTGACCAAAAACGGTTACATCACATTACATGCAACCAAGGTCGTAGAACAACTCCAGTGATTATTGAACAAGCTAGTCTATAGTGAAAAAGACAAAGAGTTGTTCTATGACCTTGGTTGCAGGTAATGTTTGCTCAAGGTTAATCACTTAATTTCTAAAGCCAGAAATGAAACTTGACTCCAAGATTTTTAAAATCGGATAAGAGGAAACCATTATAGGGACCAGTTCCTAGGTTGAACGGATTGACCGCCTGATGTTGTTCGATCCAAGGTGTTCCAAATCAAGATCACAGTCAAATAGTCTGGCAATTGGTGAAGCCAAGATGCAAGAATGAAGTTGTGCACCAAGATCAAGATATGAAACCAAGAAAGAGATCAAAGGCCCGAGGAGTTGTTCCCCGGGTAGGCACTGTAACGCTCAAGTCAGTAATGAAAGAGATGGGCGGTTGGGCCGAGCAGTTGAGAAGAACGTCAGCCCGTGCATAAGCATAATAACAGTACGGAGTTTGAAAGTCCCTTACCTTGAGCGGAGGTTACCTATTTATAGCCAAAGATCCATGTTCGAATTGGATGAGGCTTCTGGGGTTGTCCGTCGAGGTCTTCGAGATAAGTCCCAATCCCCAGCGAAGCTGTCCTCCTTATACGTACGAGGCTCCTCTTCTTGGTCGCGCTTATCCGTCCTACGTGGTGCTGACATGGCCGAAGAGATAAGATGGTTAGGGAGGCGCCATGTGGCACCCGGGGCCAGCTCGACCATAACCGAAACTCCGCCTAGTTCAAATGGGTGGCCTGTTTTGACTTTAAAATTGAAAAATTAAAAAAGGCCAAAAATCATTATTTAAATTAACTGTTTGATGGTTCAACCACCCGGGTCAGCGGGTCACTAACCAAATCAACAATTTTTTACCAAAAAGCAGTTTTGGGGTGAAATGAAACCTGTTACCTAAATGGTTCTTGGTTTTTCCGATCCAAACTAGTTTTGAAAACCATGCTTGAGTCATCCTATTCTTCAACAGTTTCTAGCAACTCTCTACCGAAACCCAAGGTTTGATTGTTAAAAGATGGGATGAGTATTCCTTTTATTTTTTGTAGATAGCCTTTTGGGTTTTGAGATCTCCCCGGGTTTTGAGTCTAGATCTTCCGCCCACAAGAACTCTGCCCACATCTACTCACATAACATTGCAGCCACACATGGGGAACATCTCATCCTCTTACATATGCATGGGGGATGTTCTCAATTCATAGGGGTGGTGTGCTGTGGGTAGTTGTGGGCAGAGTTCTTGTTTGCAGGAGATCCAAAGTCTCGGGTTTCTACACGATTTTTGTATATTCTTAGTGCATAGTGGGGGTTGATCTCCCTGTACTCGGACCGATCCGACCAAGATGGTTGAACTGGTAACCCACAACCCGGAGACAAAACGGTTCGACCTCTTTATCGGTTTTCAAAACATTGCTTTTAGACCACAATATTTTTTTGGGGGGGTTAAACTTTTTAGACCACAATTTGGTAATTCTCATTTGAATGTCTTGGGCAAATCCAACTTTTGCCTAAAGTTTTGGCAAAAATAGAAATTAACCATGAGAAATCTGTTACCTCCTTTTCAATCAAAGGATCGGATGTTTAAATTCCCACGCAACATCTAATTACTTTCAATTCAAACTAACATAAGATGCGGATTCAAGCCCATTTGCTTTCTGTATAAACTAAAGTGCAGAAGACAGCTGAGGCGCGAGAGCTAGAACATCTGTATTAATCTAAAAATCTCCTCTGGAGAGTTAAAAGAAGAAGGCGAGCGACAGACAGACAGATTCGTATTTCGATCTTCAAACCCAGATGGCAACCGAAATGAGCTTGAAGCTTCTGGTGGACATGAATTCCAAAAGGGTTCTATTTGCAGAAGCAGAGAAGGAGATTGTAGATTTCCTCTTCAGCCTCCTGATCATGCCCATGGGCACCATAGTGAGGCTGCTAAGCCCACATCACGCCAGCGCAGGATGCTTCGGCAACCTCTACAACAGCGTCCAGAATCTGGGTGACATGTACTTGCAGCCCAACACAGACAAGGCCCCTCTCTTGCAGCCCAAAATCGCATACTCGCCATTAACGACCGGCGTTCAGCGCCAGGACACTCTTCCTCTTCTTCTTCTTCAGGATGCTGAAAGTGAACAGAGCAAGTCTACCAGTCCTCCGCAGAGAGTGAAGTACTACAGAAATTCTGCTAGGATATGTGGGCATCTGTCTAATGTTGCGGGGACTCGGTGCCCATGTGGATGGGATATGAACATGGAGCTGCAACTGATTGAACCAAAGACTGTGGCCGCCGGAGCTAGAGGGTATGTAAAGGAGTTGGTGACGTACATGATCACTGATGACTTGGTGGTAACGCCAATGTCTACCATCTCTAGCATTACTCTTCTTTCCAGGCTTGGTGTCAAGGGAATATGTAACTTGGAGGAGGTCTCTGTGAAGCTTGACAAGGAACAGGTGAAGTGATCACTATGCATTCTCTCTCTCTCTCTCCTGCTAATTGACTCTTCCTTGTGTGTGTGGGTTTTACTAGGGTTTGGCTTTGTTAAGAGCTGCTTTACAGTCAAAGTCGGTTCTAACAGATGTTTTCCTTATGGAGGGAGCTCCTCAAACTCCAGCAGATTCAAAGAGGTCAGTTTTCAGTTAACCCCAAGAGAGGCTTGAACACAATTGAGAGAGAGGGAGATCTTAGTAAGGTGGTTAGCTTACTATTATAGGTTTCATTTGCTTACTGATAAATTTATACTGACTTTGATTCGGAATTTATACTGATAAATTTATACCTCTACACAATTGGGCCATGGGGTTTCTATTTGATGAAGAAGCCATGACTTCAACAAGGAACATCAGAAATAGCTAAGTGGCCATGAATTTATAAAAAGAAAAAAAGAAAAAAAAAACTCCCTTTGACTGAGGCAATTAAATTTAGAGAAATTTATTCATTAAATTCTACTTCTGTAGTTCGATACTGTCCAAGGAATTTTTCTTGCTAGTTTCAATTTCACTTGTACTAGTGTACAGTAAATAAAGATGAAAGAATAAATTATAAGTACCAAAACCAAGACATCTATTGTCATTATATGGTATAAATATGGATATAAATGTTGTAATTTTGACCTATGGTATAAATATGGTATAAATATTGTCATCAATTGTGGTAACTGTATTGGCATTGATATCAGGGTCTGTTTGGTTCACAATTGGAATCAGAGTCAGAATGGTCTATTCTCATAATCTGTTTAGTTCAAATAGAAATCAACTGGAATGGGATTTCATTCTCAAGGGAGGGGAGGGAATTGTCATTCCCTCAAATGGGAAAATGTCATTCCATCGATAACGGGCATGGGATTCAAAATTTCCAATTCCACCCAACCAAAAAGTTGGAATTAGAATGATTCATTGAAATTCAGATTCCAAACCCCTAATCCTGCATACCGAATGGGCCCTCAGTTGTGTTGTTGCTCTACACTGTTAAATTTATGTGTTGCATCATCTGTGGGGTATTTCTACCGGAAGATGTAATTCCTAGATTAAAATGAAAAGATCTTATTGTTGTCTATGAAACCCAACTAATGTGATGTGATTTTGCAAGTGAACTCAAGAATGGAAGAGCCCATTGTAGCTGAGCCAAAGAAAGCAAGCTGAAAGAAGAAAAATAACACTGAGAAGAGGAGAAGAACCTTTATGGTTGATGACAATGTTATGTTATCATGGTTATTGAGCTAATGATGTATAATTGATATATGAAGTAAAAGCAAGTGATTTGGAATATACTCAAAAAAGTTGCAAATAAACTGGATATTATATAATATGACTTTATTTGGAACTCAAATTTGAAGCAGGGAATAAGAAATGGAAAGTAGAACATTAGGCTGTATTTGGTTTGAAGGAAAAAAGTAGGGAAAATAGGGAAACCTTTACAAATCTTGTATAGGTTTTCCTACATTTCCCTTCCTTTCCTTACCTTTTCCTTCAAACCAAACATAGTATGATGGTAACAAGTAATAGGTGTCCCAAATGCATCTATGGATATTGTGTGTGTAAAACCAAATATTTTACCATATGATAATTAATGGAAGGAACAAGTTGGTCAAGATCTATTGGTATATATTAAAACAAAGATAGTCATGTCAGATGGCCACCCCTTTCTCTCTTTACTCAACTGAGGCTTATACCATCCCTTATACTTTCAGCTTGTCATCTCAGCATCTCTCTCTCTCTCTTCCCATTCATAGCTAATCACAAATTCACAATTCTGAATTGTGATATTCTAGGAAAGGAGAAGCCTGCATATAAAGGACGAAAACAAAACGTTTCCTTCTTTTTGAACTAAATGTCTTCTTCTCAACTTAATCTCTTATCAACTTTACACCTAGGGTGTTCATTATATGGTCTAAACCACCAAACCCAACTGTAATTAGCGGTTTGGTCTGGTTTTTCCTTGCAATAATTTGGTTTGGTTTGAGAATTTCTCAAACCGTAGTTTTTTTTTGTTTGATTTGGTTTTCTATATTTTATAAACCAAACCAAATCATAAACTGTATTAAACTGAATTATTAATAATAGTATGTATGTATACATTCATTTAACATTTCATACATTATTATTGTTTATTTCAGTTTTTAACTTGTAATTTGATGCCCAAGAAAGTTGTTTATGTTTGAGAAAGTGTAATAATAATATGTAGGTAAGCATTCTAATTGGGTTAAGCCCAATAGAATGGTCCAAATTGTATTAAAAACTGGATCAAACCTCAATTTACTGGTTTAGTCCAAAATTTTCTTCAAACCAAACCAAACCGGACTGTAAACACCCCCATTTATATCAATCTCTTCATCTAAGGTAATCAAGTTTTGCAACTGAAATCTTCTCAACAGGTCAACAGAAGTGATGCTATGTACATTTTCTTTTTTGAAAAGATAAGTGATGCTACGTACATAATTTCACTTATTACATGGCCTATAGCTATATATGTTGTTTAATATGGCATTGGATGATTGGAATGCTTTACAACTCAAACCTGTTCTATTCTACAGTTAGGGGTGCAACTTTTGAGGGTAAGGTTGAGATTTTATCAAAATTTTAATGGGCCCAAAAGTCTGAGCCCAAATCAGTATAAACAGTTAATTCGGGCCAACCAGACTTACACCCTTATCTTTCTGTGAAAAAGAAGCATAAAACGGATAATTAAGAGGGTCGATCCAGACCAGGCAAATAAATCTTTCTGTACATTAATACCCTCTACATAATTTGTCTATCTATCGAAGTTGGGAGCCAACGGCACGGATTGTCGGTTTCCACCCAAGACCAATGATTAATATTATCGAGATTATAGTCTCCCATCCAACAGCTTTCCTACGGAACATAATTTAATGGTGCTCCGGGGGAGTTCATTTTTAAATTTCAGTCATATGTTAATTAAGTTTTCGTAATGAAGTGAAATTAATTTATAATATTTGTAAAGTAATTATGCAAACTTAGATTATAATAATATATTTAATTAATTTAGATATCTAATTAATTTAAATGTTACATTATATTATAAGGTGAAAAAATACTTTTACAAATAATTAGATAGTATAATATGATTTCCTTTAACAAATAATTAGACTAACTTTATTTAAATTAGTTCAATGGGTAAATTGCTTAAATTAATTAACTATCTCAGATTAATGAGAAAAATACATAGATTCATTATTAATTTATTTAACTTTGATTGGTTTTAACTTAGATTTATGAGCAAATTGTTTAATTAATTTAGATTAATTAATTATTATTTTTCATTGACCCAAAATAATTCCAATTACCTAATATATGCATGGGTAAAAAAAATAAACATGACATGCAAATCTTCAATTGAATTTCCCTATGCTTTCCTCGGTTAGAGGTGTCAGTTTGTGAGGAATCATTGGGTTCACCTAACAGCAATGTTTTCAAAATCGGACTGGACCAGATGGTTGGACCGGAAAATCAGGAATTGGTTCGTTTCATCCCAAAACTGTTTTTTGGCCAAAAACCATTGCTTTGGTCAGGGAAACGTCAATACAGACAATAGTTTTGGCCTTTGTCAGAACAGGCCATTTGTTCGGTTTGAACAATCARACCATTCAACCCAAGAACTGGACCCCCTAAACAGTTCTCTGTCTGGTTCAGTTTTGAAAACCTTGCCTAACAGTATGTTGTTCATAATCCTTGACCATCGGATTGGAATTCGGATTTGAAAGATGAATTATATGATAATCTAATTTTTTTTCATGGGGCTATAGAATGGGGGTAGCCATGGTAGTTAAAACCAACTTGGTGATCGAACCGGTCAGGGGTCTGGTTACCGGGTCGAATGGTCCAACCGTTCAAACCGAATGCTTGGGCCATTTTTATAGAAAAATAAAAAAATAAAAAATGGTCAAAACCGTTTGAACGATTAACCGCCCAGTTCAGCAGTTTGCTAACCAAAATCAACGGCTTTGGGGGGAAAACGGAACCGATCAGGTGGCCAGTTCCCGGTTTTTCCGGTCCAGTTTTGAAAACCATGGGGGTAGCCCATTCCCTTAACCACCCTTCCCCGCCCTTGTGGCAGAGGGATTTGATCCCAGTAACTGAGCCACCATCAACTGGTCTTAATTGGATGGTCAAGGGTGGGGAATACCCATGCTACACCAATTAGAGGTGTTAGATGGGAGGAGCAAACAGGTTCACCTAACAACATGTTTCTCACCTTTAGGTGCCATTTGGCAAGTCTTTTTAAGAAGATATATCAATAGTCTAGATGGCCAAAAGATATAATGAGCTTGTGGGGTCTTGTCTTTATGATTTAGACCATCTAGTAAGTATTGTAGTCTATCATACTCTACAGAGTTGTTAAATTAAAGATTTTAGGTGCAAAAAGACATGAAGCTTCAAACCTTTCTAGATTTTTGGCCATTTTGAGCTTCCACGAATTTTTTTGGTCTTCAGAACTTTGAAAAGTCCAAAAGACAACACAAAAAACTTGCCTAATGCTTCCTTATTCAAGAGCAAAGACTCGATTCCATGACCTTCTAAAGCCAATCCGCTATGACATTAGCTTCCCTACAAACATGTATATACTGAACACTGAGACTCCACCTTTTGTAGATTCCATAACACTCTTCAATCTACAGAGGAATATCCTGACCCTTAAGCAATGTTTGTTTTGAAGGAAAATGTAGGGAAAGGAAGGGAAAGACAGGGAGACCTATACAAGGTTTGTAAAGGTTTCACTACCTTTGCCTTCCTTTCCCTACCTTTTCCTTCAAACCAAACACAGCCTTAGGGGGCATTCTTTTTCGGGATTTTGAGAGGGGGGAAAATTGGTCAATGGGATTTTGGTTCCCATTGACCAAGGATCCCATATTCATTTTTCAGATTTATGTTGGGACCAGGGAAAGTTTATTTTATTGGGTAAGTGATGGCCTAGGTGGGTAAATAACTTTCCCACCTAGGGGGGGAAGTTGCTAACACTTGAATGGGACAAAAATGCTCTTTTTAATAATGGTTTTTTATGGCTAAAATGGTCATTACCTTATTTACCTGTGAAATAAAAGAACATGGGTAAATGCACTTACCCAGGTAAGTATTTCCTAGGTAATTGCATGTACCCGGGTAAGTAACCTACCCAAAAGTGAACGAAACCCGAGAGTTAAGACATTCAATAACCAACTTCGAGTATCCTTTTATCACAACATTGACTTCAGAAAATGTTCTCATTAGTTGATGGGCTTCYAAGGCAGCCCAAGCTTGTTTCTACAACATTAATTGAGAAAGACCCAACAAATCTGCTATAGATCTTTAGAATTTGACCCATGGTTTTCAAAACCAGATCAGACCGGACTGTCGGACCAAAAAACTGGGAACTGGTCACTTGATTGGTTCCGTTTTCCCCAAAAACCGGATTTCCCCCCAAAACTATTGATTTTGGTTAGCAAACCGCTGAACCGAGCAGTTAACCGTTCAAACGGTTTTGACCATTTTTTTTGGGAAAAAATTTTATTTTATTTTTTCTGCCAGAATGGGCCGAGTGTTCAGTTCGAACAGTCGGACCATTCAAACTGATAACCGGACCCCTGACTAGTTCAGTCACTGGGTTGGTTTTAAAAACCATGATTTGACCCGCCTCAGGCATTGTAATACATTCTATAGCCGAGGAATATCCCTTGTGAATTATCTGAATTCAGAATTTCTGATGGAGAGTCAGAGAAGATGGACCAACAAATGGAAAAGGAGTGTTGCTTATTAAAAAAAAGGGAAAAGGAGAGTTGAGCAAGTTAAAATATGCCCCCACATAGTACATCCCAATCGTGTACTAGGAACATCTTCCAATGGCAATTATGGGAGATGTTCTCAATGCACACTGAGATGTACATATGGGACATTTTTGGGGTGCATTCTGTGGGGGACAGATGTGAACTCTGGTGATAGGGTGCAACTTAAGCAGGACAAACCCTAACCCAAATCAATTTATCCTGTAATTTTATCCGAATAACATTTTTTGCCCTTGAGCTAGTTAGGGGTGTTCACGGATCAGGTTGGGTTGGTTTGAGTCATTTTCTTCAACCAACCTGACCTAGTCGGTTTATTTATTGACTAAACCGAAACTGATCGACCCTGAAGCAAAACTAACTCAAACATGAAGGGTCAGTTTGGGTCAGTTTATTGGTTTAATCAATTTACATAACAATTAAAATAATTAGTTTTAAACAGTCCTATGTGAACACTCCTGGTTGGTTTGGGCCGTTCGGCTCCAAGACTCCAATAGGCAACATGCAACAGTTGAAGACTCCAACTC